CGCAAAGGAACGCACATAGGCCCTATGCACGACATGGGAAACAGAAGACTGGCGGTTGCTTTGGGGAAGAAGACGGCCCTCAGAGGATTCCCCGTTAACCGGAAGAAGAAAAAAAAGAGACACGCGCCCCATAAAAAAAACAAATCCAAAGCATTTTGGACATAGACGATAAACCCAACGGTCCAGCCATGCCCACGCAGGGCGGGCCGCTTCATGCTCACAGGAAGTGCCCGAGCTAGAGGCGGCTAGAGGGCGGAGGATACGCGAGGTACCGCGCGAGCCGGTGTCCTTGGATAAACTGGATGTTTACTCGACGAGGCAAATGTTGGGCCATGTGGTGCGCGGTACTGACTGTGTGTGTGCGTGTGTGTGTGTGGTTGTGAAAGTGAGGGGGAAAGCGGAAGAGGGTAGAGAGGAAGGGAGGAGCTCGCAGAAGACAAAGTAGTACGCGTGCACGGCGGGGTGTTTCCTCTCTGCTCAACGAGACGTTTTCGCTCCACCAGACGCACACACGCTCTCTCTCTCTCTCTCTCTCTCTCTCTCTCTCTCTCTCTCTCTCTCTCTCTCTCTCTCTCTCCTGCTTCTCCATCCGTACACACTGCCCACCCGCTACTGCAGCGGTGGCAGTCACTGCGACTCTCATGAATTTCAAAATTGTAGTAGAAAGCAGCGACAGCAGTGGCCGCAGAAGAGGAAAAAACAGAAGACGAAGAAGAAGAAGAAGAAGAAGAAGAAGAAGAAGAAGAAGAAGAAGAAGAAGAAGAAGAAGAAGAAGAAGAGACAGTAAGGAGAAGAAGAGACAGTAAGGAGAAGGGTGGCGGAGGGATAGGCAAGGCATCACAAGACCATAAGGCAAGACGGGTTTCGTACAGATGTCTGCGACTACCCGTGGCAGAAAAACAAAGGAGGATAAGTTCTTTTTCCATTGCTTTGCTTTCACTTTACCGCTTTTTTTGTAACAGGATTTCTGATTTCTAACCTAACCTAACGGTTTGAGCGAGTTGGCAACGTGGTCGCGCGCGTGTTCACGAGGTAGCAGTGTAAGTGAGGGAGTGGGCAGAGCAGCCGGCTGGCCTGGGATGTGTACGGATCATACGGAAAAACACACAGAGGCAACCGCTTCTGACAAAAACAAATTTTTGTTTAATGTAATATCGGAAATCATTTTTAGTGTACACCGGAGTCTTTTCCCCCGTGGTCCATGGTGTGGACACGACGCCCCCATTCCAGGGGTGAAGAAACACGCTCCGCTCCATTCGGCACACCGACCATACAGCGCAAAAAAATAACTTTTGCCGAATATTTTTTTATTTATGAAAAAAAAAAATTGTGGTGCGTGCGAATTTAACGCGAACCGTCGCAGTCGCTTCACGGGAACGGGGACACGAACTTGAGAAGTTCAACAGGAGTTTCGTTCCTGTCACTTCACCACCCCCAGCCGTATAGGAGCGAATGAGGAGAAGGGGGAGGAAAAGGATTGATATGTGGAGTGGTGTATGTGGAGTGGAAAGCTGTTTGAAGGCCACCCCTCTCACTCCATTCTCTCTGTCCCTCTCACTCTCCCACACGCACCTCCTCCCTCCCCCGCTCACACGTTCACTTCCAGGCGAAGGAAAGATTGCTATGAACTGCGCGACGCAAGCCTATTGAAGAGCGTGCTGGCGGAAGGGCAAACGGCTGAAGGGAAGAAAGTGGAAGAGTGAGCGAGAGAAGCACTGTGGACTCGGGGAAGGGAAAGGGGGGGGGGAGTAATAAACCTGTTTGTAAGAAAGCAGGGAGGCATAAGCCCCATACTGGAAGAGGGGCATATGAGAACATCATCTTGCTGTGCTTTCGCCAACTTTAAAAATCTCTGCTCTCGTACTTTCACTAAAACCCACTCGCTCAAAACCACGAACCCACCCGCCACAATCTTCACGTCATTTTATTATGTGCTCACTGTTAAAACAGGGCGCACTGATAAACCAAGTGTTCAACTGCTCAACACTTGTAAGTGTGCAACCGCAAGTTCAATACTTGCAAGTGTACAATTCAGTAGTAGCACAGTTGCAAGTGTTCAACTCGGTATTTGTGCACTTGTAAGTGTGCAACTCCTCTGTTAAACACTTCCCCCACAGTAAGCGCCCGATATAGAGAAGTGTGCAACAGGAGAGTTGAACACTTACAAGTGCACAAATACCGAGTTTAACACTTGCAAGTGTACTACTACTGAATTGAACACTTGCAAGTATTAAACTTGCGGTTGCACACTTACAGGTGTTGAGCAGTTGAACACTTGGTTTATCAGTGCGCTTACAGTGGCGTTCGTCGAATAGCTTTACGGTGAAAAATCATCCACCCTAGCTCACAAGCGCTTTGCAGGGTTTACCGCAGTCGACGGTGAAAATTTGCTCCCTTATTCAAGTTTTCATTAGTGCTTTCGGCAGCTCTGGCCCGCCGACAAGCGCGCGCGGGGGAGGGGGGGGGGGAGCCTCGATGCATCCTCGGTCGGTCAACGAGTGGGAATAATGCATCAAAGTCGGCGCACGCTGTCCGTCGGTCGGCCTGTCGGTCGGCTCCCGGTCGGCCGGGTCGGCCTGCGGCGGCGGCGGCGGTCCGACGCGCTGAATAAGCAACAGTCTGACTCATTTATAGGCCGCACGGCGCAAAGGGAATCTCCCCCGGGCGTTCGCACCGCCGTCGCTGCTGGAAGCTAGTTGTCGATTCTCACTGATAAGACCATCAGCGGCGAGAGCGCCCGTGTGGCGCGCGTGTGTCGGACTGTGTGGGAAATGGGAAACAAAATTTAAAAAACAAAAGATGGAGGGGCAAAAAAGTCGGATTAAAAAGCAAAAAGACTCCGACCGGCGGCAGAATAAGCAATTTTGATAATGGGCGACGGGTGTTTACTTCCCGGTCACGTAATGCAATCTGAAATTTAAACGGTATGTGAAGTGAAGAGGAGGAGGAGGGCGGAGGGTGGAGGGGCGGAGGGTGGAGGGGCGGACGGAGCAGAGGGTGCGGCGGAACGGAAGGGAGCAGTCGGGAGTATATTGTGGGGATGAAAAAAACAAACAGAGCGGCGGCGGCGGTGCAGAGAAAAGAACAGCGCGCACGCGGGTAGAGTACAGAAGAAAAAAAGAAACGGGGAATAAAATGACAAAAGCGGCTTGGTGCTGTCATGAGTAGGACATCCGAATGCGCGGGGCCCTTGGCGCCGCCGCTGCCGCCGCGCTGCTGCATCTTGTGCCGCTCTGTACCACTGCCCGCCCCTCCCCGCCCCACGCCTAGCCCCCCTACAGTCCTATCCGTTTTGCATTCATGCCCCGATGGAAAATTGTCATCTGGAGGCGATATGGGCGTCGTGAGCGGCGCCATTCGAGACGTCGGCGCCGTGGCGGGGGCGGAGTGGAGGCGGGGTGGGGGCGGCGTGGTGGGGAAGGCGTGGGGGCGGCATAGCGCGCCTCGGTCTGCACCGAAAGACCTTGAACGGTATAATCGCGCCAGCCACCGCATGGTCCTTTGAGACCCTCATCAGCACTAGGGAGAAAAGGGGCCAGCAGCCGGCTGGTGTGGCCCGGCCCCCCGGCCGGCAGCCCCCCAGCCGTGTTCCTCTTTTACTGGGGTTGGGGTCTCCCTCTCTTCTTTCCGTGTTCACGGCCGCGACCGCACCAGGAAGTCTGCCCCGGGGATAAGGAGATTCAGAGTGCGCGGGCAAGCAGCCACGGAGGTGAGGAAATGAAGGGGCGAAAGACTCCATTAGGGACGTCAAGACCAAGAACTAACTCGTTTCATATTCCGTAAGTACGCACCCAGACAGGCAGGCCACGCGCAAAACAGAACACACACGCACGCACGCACGCACACAAGTCATGATTTTCGGGGAAACGCTAGAAGACCGCTGGCTACCGGAAGCACACCACGTCCTTCTCCCCGCCCCCACTCCGTGCCGGCTCTCTACCTCTACGAGAGAGCAGCGGAGACCCGATGCGCGTTCGGTCGCTTTTCAAACGCCCGGCGCGGCGCCATAAAAAAACATCTCTCCCTCGTTCCGTATCGCTCCACCGGCAGCACTAACTGCAGCCGCAGCAAGAGGTTTATGAGGGTCGGAGAGAGGAAAAGGGGGGGGGGGCGGACGCGGAGCCAGAATTCGAGAACCTCTGTGAATGCAAAACACTTTGAGTCTCCAAAGCAAACATCAAACTCTGCGCGCGCGGCGGGAAGCAGCTCTCCGAGAGCAGTCGTGGAAGGTTTGTGGTGTAGCCGGTGGGGGGAGAGCGGCATGGTCCGTGGGGAGAGGGGGAGGAGGGGGAGGACAGAGGGCGTCGAGGCATGCTCATACCGTCACCATCTGTCTGCTGTCGCCCCCTCTGGGCCCAGCAGCTCTCCCGATATTAGTCGCCATCCCCCTTGTCTAATTGCGTTACATTTCAATGTTTTCGTTCCGCCAGTAATTACATTCATTTGTTTGCCCGTTCCTCCCTCATCCCCGCTCACTTGCCTCCCCCGCGCTGTCCCTCGCTTGTCTCCCGCCGGGCCCCCCGAAAACAAGGGCTGGCCAGAAGTATATTAATAACGAGGAAAAACCTGCTTAGCTTCCGCCCTTTTAATTGACTTTGCCTCGAAAAGATAAAAGGATAAAAAAGGCTTCACGTTGAGTATAACGAGACTTGTAATAGGAGCGATCAGACAGCGGCAGACTTATTGGCTGAGTGCAAAACGCACAATAATAAAATTTGTAACCACACTACGCGAAAAAAATGCAGTCTGTCTCATTCTTCGCGTATTTAGAAATTATTTTAGACCGCCTCTTTTCCGAAAACCGATGCGGCCGTTGTCTTTGAAGCACGGGGACTTTAAGTCAACGGAGGAAACCGCTATGACGTGGCACAAAGTACACTGTTAATGAATTTCGTCATTTCACGATAATAATCTGCTGTCACGAATAGTTCGTAATTGAAATTAATGCGTATTATTCGTCTATTTCGGTTACTAACTGTTATAAAACAAACTATTCGTAGCATCACGATTTAATAGTGACAATTAATCAGGATGTTGGTGTGTCTGTTTCAAAAATTCTTGTGTCCAGGATCGTTATTTTAGGACAACAACCGAATTACAAAGTGTTTGTCATTTTACGAACGAATTCGTTACTTTAAAATAACAAAGAGTTTGAGTAGAAAAATTAACAGGACAATTTTCTTCAAATTACGAAAAAAATTCCACCAGTGGAAGAGCCTTAAGAATTGCGATAAATTTAGAATGTGCGCGCATAGCATCCGCCGCGAATTCGAAGTATAGACACGATGGGAAACACTGCTCTGGCTGCGCGCAGCGGCGCCATGACTGCAGAGCAGCGCTGCGGCGAGCGCTGCGGCGAGGCGCCCGGCGGGCCGCGCATAGGCAGCATGCACAGGCGGCGCGCGCGGCGGGTCGGCCTACCCCGGGATCCACAGGCGTTCGACCGCGACCAGACCAGAACAATTACGTAGAACGGGGTAGAAATAAAGGAGTAACAACGCAACAAAAGGGTAAGAAAAAAAAACTACAGAATAAAAAAAAGGAAAACAAAACAGCAGAACAAATGACAAAACACTCACCGGTGAGCTGGATGCGGCCAGCGTTGGCGCTGGGCACGTTGCGCTGGGTGAGCCGGTGGTGGGTGCGGCAGCGAAAGGAGTGCCTGGCGTCCTGCTCCGTGATGTTGAGCACGAGCAGCTCGCCCGTGGGCAGCATGTGGTACTTGCCGTCTGCAACACAAACGACGATCACATTTGATAATAAAAAGGTACCCGTCACGATACTTCCATCAACACGTTATTTCCCCCGAGAGGGCTTTGCCCCGCCCGACAGTTATAAGCAGAACATTGGTCGGGCTACAATAAGGAAGCCGGAGGCGACGGCGTCCAAAATTTATAGCCACCGGCGACGCCAAACTGGTCTGGACAGTTATCGCAAAACTACTGGGGAGGGGGGCTGTCCAGCCAGCGCGGACAAAGACACCGTGCGCTAACACAGCAGCACGAGCAAAAATTAAAACAAGAGAACAGAATAAAAACATCCGAGACACGCGCACGTTCTTTCCGCTCCCCTAGTGGCTCTGCTAAAAGAATGCAAGCCAATATCGCCGGAAGCCGGAAGACTTGCTCTGTTTGCATACCTGTACGCCGTACTAGTTGTTTACGTGTATATCGGAAAATGCGTAGGAAAAATTGGGTGACGCTGGTTGTGAACCAGACGGTTT